GACTCGCGCGACGGACTTCGTCGAAATGGAGGGTCTGCTCGTAGTTTAGGTTCAGAAAGCTAACTTCGATTTTTACTCCTTTATTTTTGAGGGTTTTGGAGTTGCCATTAGTCGGTTTTTAACAAATTGGTGTATTTCCTTAGACGTATTAAATATCTTGCTAACCTCTTCTCATATCTCATATCTGTAATAACTAGAATTTGCATTTTCATTTATTGTCAAGTAACTGCGAAATGATTTTCTAGTTTTTATTTCAATTGAACCACTATTATGTTGTTTCTATTTAAATAAGTTCGCGTTTTTGCGCGAGATTGTGTCAGAAATACGTAACGCCGGTAGCGATTTATTTCTCGTCAGTACAAGTGTTGTTTTCGTGAGATAATTCTCATTACTAATTGATTTCTATTGTCAGTCGCTTCGTCAGTTTTTGTTAGCGCCGTGTTACTTTTGTTCAAGAGTCTTAACTACCGGACCTGGTTACGCCACAAATTGTAAGTTCGTTTCTATCTTATGTAGCTCTGTCGTTATTCTTGTTGTTGTTATATTTGTACACAGATATTTGTATTATTTATTTATTTCAGTCGAACCACATTTACACATCCTTGCATCAAAATATTCGTCTATCTGGAAAACAGATTAAAGGTGCATTCATGTTGTGGCGTTACACGTGTCGTATTTATCTACATCATCTGTAGCACGGCATTCTTGTAAATCAGGTTATTTATTCATTTAATTCTTTTAGTGTAGGTGGAAGAAAAACGTTACATAAGGTAACCTTGTGTTAGTTTGTATATTTATATTCATAATCTTGTAGTTCCTGAAGGATTGACGGTGGATAAATAAAGTTGGCTTGTTTTCTCGGTCCTTATTGTACGTTACGGAACTTGTTTTTTTTCTCTCAGATATATGGCCTGCGCACTTGATCCAGGAATTCGAGCGGAAAGAAACTCGATTTTTAACTTACAGCACGGAGGTAAGTAATGGCTGATTAACGTAAGTTAACTTCTTCACTTTTATAAGCTTTGCATTATTCAAGCGACTGTGTGTATTATGAGAAGTATCGGCCGACACATTCGAGTCGTACTCCTAGGACACTGGCCATCAACAGAGACAGGGCGCCCAGGGTCAAAACAGGCCAGCAACCAGGAAGCAAAAGGGCCAGGTGGCTCAGCACACAATTAATGGATTAATGACAGTTTCCCTACACTCGAGGTCACGTTTAAAAAATTACGACACATTTTTTAAGCTTATAAATTCAAACAACAAAGCTATCAGATGACGAAGCAATTTAGGATTATCAACTGAGTTGATAACGTAAATTTGCCGACGTAAAGAGTTTAGCTTTGAAACTCTTTTTGAGGGCATCCGGTTAAGGCTTGCTTTTTCCCATCTTCAGCATATCCCTGTAGATTGAAGGAGATAATACGAAACGTTAATTGCTTTCTTCACGCGCGAGCTCTGAAATTCAGATTTAAAGTTATTAATTAAATAATAGTAACAACAACAACGATGACGCATCAGAGCAATAATTTTTGGGGGACAAATAACATAGCAAGGCGGTTAATTTCCTTTTACTGATTCTTAAGACACTTTTGAACAAAATGAGATATAATTCATTAGAGTTTCCCGATATCCAATCATTGTCTAGTTTTAAACTCCCCAATCATTACTATGGCGATTCATTTGTTACCAAGGAACGGTGTTTTTACCACTTCTCAAAAAAGGATTCGTGACGCGTGATTAAGCGCACGTGGCACGTGGCACGTGGCACGTGGCACGTGGCACGTGGCACGTGGCACGTGGACCATGATGACGTGACACGCTGTGGGATTCACCTTCTCCCTTCATCTTTTTTTGTGTTACCCCTCCCCCCTTAGATCTTATTACTAATTCTCCTTAATGTCTGCCATACAATTCGCATGATTTTAGGTTGAAGAATTTTTAATGAGATCACCTAATAATCCCCTAACTGAAACTTTTCTTTATCCTTATGACTTGTCTACTCGTTATTGGAAAGAGAAATTTTGTTTTGACACTCATGAGAATTCAATGGTTAATGACATCACGCGCGCGCGCACGTTTCATCAACAGCTTCAAAAATTTTTTTTCAGTTTTTGGTTCCATGTTATTCTCGGCAGTTCACTTTTGCCGGATCTCTGACTGTAAGACAGTTAGATAAAAGAAAATTAATGAAAAAGAATTATATTATGCATACTGTACGTTTTCTAAAATCGCGCGCCGACCACAAAATTTATATTTGATTCGGATTCAGTCCCCTTCTATTGCTCTCGCACATCCAGGAGAAAACTAGAGACATAAGTATCGCAATCACAAGAAATTAAAATACTTCATACTTTATCAGTACAACAGTGGTTCAGCAAAAGCTGAAGGAACAAGCATATCAGCAAAAAGTACCACATCTTTGTCAATATTTACCCGATCTTCTTTCCCGCTTCTTTAGACTCGTAGATGGAGCAGGTATGCAAAGGTCCCGTATGTCCGGCTGCCTCACAGGCGGCCTTGTGGAACTGGAATTGTAGCACGTAGCTCATAAAGTACCTGAGCAATAAAAATAAAAATAATTAAATTTGGTTGGTGTCAAATCCATTGGAAAAACACCCTACCCAACACAGTTTCTTGGGCTAAAGCCTCTCTTCAGAAAAACGAGGTGCAATAATTTAATGAAGGAGATTGGTGTAACACCAGACCCATACCTCTCTCCTTTTCTCAGTCTGCTGCTTCTTCTGCGCCGTTTACTATCAGGCAACGTTTCACTAATTGAACACTGGAAAAGGGAAACAATTTATTCTCAGTCACCCTTGTTTCCCTTTTAGTTCATTCTTTCCTCGTTGTTGTTTATCAATTCCCTCCAACTGTCTAATTAAATAATTAGAAATTAAATAATTGTCTAATAAAAAACCATGCAGTTTATGAGCTCAAAATTTCCATCGCGCAACAAACAAGGCTCCGGTGATGACATGGTTCGAGCTATGAAGAGCAACTCTTTTTAAAAACTTACCAACCTGAGGGGAAACGAGAATTCCTTCGAATTAGGGGGAGTTCGAGTTATTAAAGGTTTGAGTTCCGCGGTTAACATTACAATAAATGAATGACGCCAGTCTGAGGGAAATCGATTTTGATTAGAGTTAGCGAAGGTTCAAGTAACAAAGGCGACACAGAAGAGAGGCTTAAGCCCTTCTCTCCTCCCCTCACGTTTTGGTACGGAAAATATAATCAGTTAAACTAAAATATATGGTCTCGAAATCATTTCATAAATCATTTCATCAGGATCGCGCATAGCGAAATTGTTAACACTTATTCGCCGAAGTGGAGGTGAATAGTGGTGGATATTTACCGAGCCGCGAAGCAGCGAGAAAAATATATATCCTTTTCAACGACACTTGGATGAATATTTGTATTAGCATATATCACACAGATACAAGAAAATTAGTTTACTTCTTTCAATATACCGGAAAATGCTCAGAAATTTACTCTTGACGCGAAATTTTGTCTCAGCAGCTCGGAGGTGAATAGTAATTACTATTCACTTCCAAACATGCCAATAAGCGCGCGTGAAAAGCACAATTCACCGGTGTGGTTTATACTAATATGTTATTTGACGTTTTCCAAACAACTGCATGCAAATATGCATGCAAAGATGTTTGGTGGAGATTGGCTTCCTGACCCCAACCCCCTTCTGTCCTTCCCTCCCTTCTCCCGGCAGTCGACTGTGAAGGGGATCAGAATCAACTCCTTTCTCACTGGGTACATTACCCACCTGATGTATGGTGTATTCGCTGGAATGTGATATTTGCATCCGGGATCAAAGTAATTTTTTGTCCTTTCCACAGCAGGTTCTATTCTCTGGTGCTTAGTCCTCAGTTGTCACCACGCGGTATTGCAACTCTCCTCAGTGATCTTACCGCTAAAAACTTTCCATCTCCATTGGTTGATTAAGAATCTGAAAGGAAGGAAAGCCATCTTGCGCAGAGCCATCTTCATCAAGGCGTTTATGTCGGATTCTACAAAACGAAGTTCAAAGAAATAAAGCTTGTGCTTAAATTAATTCTGTTCACAGCTGTTTATCCAGCCGGTAAGCTAGTAAGCGTAAGTTTCGAAAGAAACTGTGGTGTTGCGTCGGTGGGAGAGTATAACAAGGTAATTCTGTAATATCAACTGTTGATAATGGTTGATATCGCGAATTGGCCACCGTCAAGAGTTTAAAACTGACAAAAGTTGATAACGTAAAATTGGCCACCGGTAAGAGTTTCAAAGTTGACGTTTCGAGCGTTAACCCCTCGTCATTCGCTCAGACGAAGGACTAACGCCCGAAACGTCAGCTTTGAAACTATTAACGGCGGCCAATTTTACGTTATCAACTCAGTTGATAATAAGAAATGGTCTTGTTAGAATCAACAGTATTTGGGTTATGTGATAAAAAAGCAAAATG